ATATATATATATATATATATTCTGGCCACACCCGATCCATTTAGCGAGTTGCTAAACAGATAACACCCGAGATACGTCACTATAATACCGACGAAGAATGTATATATGCAAATTGCTAGAGGTGATCTTAAATTACAGGTAGAATAATTAGCTTACTGGATTATTACGCCGCACATACAACTCCACGTGTCACATCCAATACATTACACAGGATTCGCGTGTTTATATATTCACGTCGTTTTCTCGTTGATGTTTTGCTACAACCGGGATATATGTAGTGGGAATTAAATCAATTCGTACTTATTTTATTTATATATTTGATTGTTATTAACGGCTAAGAAGCGAGGAAATAGATAAATCCCATAGCAGTTTCTTTCTATATTTTTTTTCGTCCGATTAAAGTGTTGTGCGACATTTCTTGCTTGCAGGAATCAATGCAGCAGCAGCAATGGCCGCAGTTCACCCATGGGTCAGTGTTGCTCCCCCAAGTGCCCGAGCCCGGACATCCTGGACCACAGGGCCGTGGAAGGACAGTCCGGTAGGTGGAGAAATGTCTGCTGTGTGTGTGCGAATACTAGAACCGGAAGTGTATTAAATACAAGCTTATCATCCTATCGCTGATTATTGTATTGAATTTACTTCCTTATTTCATTATCTTACCCTTAGTAAAAAGATGACCTACTGATATATTATGCGTACGGCACGGTTACAGATCCACGTAGTTCTAAATGATAGTAAACTTAATTTACAAAATTGTTGTGAAGTCGGCTTACAACACGCAAGCAAGCAAAGAAACGTCGCGATCGCTGTAACATTCCCGTTAGTGCCTTCCGCTAGTATCGAATATGCCGCACATCTTCGATTGTTCGCATTGCTAATTATTGATTGATGTAATTATTTCTTCGCAACAGGTTCAGAGGACGATATCAGTACAGGACGTGACGACGTCACCATACCTGATGACGTCATCACTCCAGCCGATATCACCAAAATTCAAGCGGAGGTCACTTCATTGAAGCGACAGTTGGCAGACTGTCATTTTAAAGCGGAAGAGGTAAACGTTTTGTAATACGTGGACATAGAGTTAAAGTGTGAGTGCGTAAGAAACGAAATAATATATATATAGAGAGAGAGAGAGATAGAGCGAGTCCAATGGTATATATACCGTGTGAATACACCGCCTTAACCATGCACGTACCTCCGCGCTCTCTCTCTCTCTCTCTCTCTCTCTCTCTCTGTCCCTCTTTCTCCCCCTGTCTGAGTCTCCACCTCTCTCTACCCCCTCTCTCTCCCCATCTCTCTCTCCTTTCCCCCTCTCTCTCTCCCCTCTCTATCTCTCGCTCTTACACACACACTCTCACACACAGGTGAATGCGTCGATGCGGGAGGAGCTAGCCAACAAGCAGTTCGAATGTGATGAGGTTCTGGTAGAGCTGCAGCAGTCGGAGAACGAGCGCGCCCGCCTGACTATCATCGAACATGGACTCCGCGACGCACTTCATCTGCTCAACGGTCTCAAGTCAAACGTAAGCTAATGCTCCATTAGGAGTGTTCCCAACTTTGATATCATTAATGATTAATTATTAATAATTAATGATTAATGATTAATGATTAATGATTAATGATTGATAATCCTAACCCTAACCCTAACCTTAACCTAAATGACATTAAACCACAAACTAATATATGACCATGACATTAATGACATTAAAGTTGGGAACACTCCTAATGGAGTATCACCATGCATGGTGCGCTCACGAAGAGGAACTGAATTAGAGTAGGGGTAGTATTGGTATTAGGGGTAATGACAGTGGCAGCAGCACTAGCAGCAGTAACAGCAGCAGTAGCAGCAGCAGCAGCACTAGCAGCAGTAACAGCAGCAGCAGTAGTAGTAGCAGCAGCAGCGGCGGCAGCAGTAGCAGTAGCAGTAGCAGCATCAGCAGCAGTAGTAGCAGCAGCGGCGGCAGCAGTAGTAGTAGAAGCAGTAGAGTTAACTCATACTTAACTTACTCATTATAATT